CGCCTCGCCGCATGGGGCCCACCTTCTCGTATATATTGGCCGAGCTTTGGCGACGCCAAAACGCAGCGGTAGGGTGCCTTCGGTTTGGCCGGGTCCAGCCCATGCTCGTAGGAACGTTGCTGCATGCGGGCCGCCTTATCGTATTCGCCCAGCCTCCACGGCCCCACAGCGCAGTTGTATAGTGCCCTCGGGTCGGCCGCGTGCAGCCGCACTGTAAGAAAAAGCTATCCGAGTTTGGGGGTTTTGCGGCTCGTGACCTCTGAAAATGGTCTCGCGTTAAAATTTATTATACCTTGTGTAGGAGTGAAAGCGGGTACATGGCATAGTTTTACCACAGCCTCTGAGGCACATAGTAAAATGATGTCACAATTCAGTTTTACCTCGTGGGGAGTTTTCTATCACGTGATTTTTAACCTGTGTTTCAGAGTTTATTACCACTTGACGGCAAGCTGCAGCTGCATCGGTGGCTTTTGCCCCGTATCCTCCAGGTGACGCTCGCAGTGAATCAGGACGGTATGCAAGGACCACAGATTTTTTTTTACGTAGTTTGGTATGGCATCGTCGTGCCTCATGAATGACCTCGAGTCAACCCAATTTCACTAATACTGGGAGCTGGTAGCATCATAAGCACAACGCGCGAGGAAAGCATTCTGTGAACAAAAAAAAAAAAATAGGGGGCGGGGGGTGCACTCCAAGAAAAAAAAAACCTGCTGGCAAGTTGTCCTGCATATTTTCGCAAATCATCGGCATTTGCTGTGTGGTGACCCTGGAGACAGACGGCGTTAAAAGTTCGGGATCTATGTGTGTGGTAGGCGCTGATCTGGTTGAGCTGATGGGTCTCACGAGTTTCTAGCAATCGTGCATGACCTAGCGTGAGCCTCGGAACCTGTACGTCGTGGATACCTCGTTTCCGGACCAAACAGTGAAGAGCTGCCATCGATAACACAATCAAGCTGGTGCCATCGTCCGTGGTTCCTTCCTGGAGAGTGACCAGTTACAACTTCGAAGCGATAAACAAGAGACTTCACCATGTCGTCAGCAATGAGTCAGCCTGTGGTCAGTGCGAGTCTGTCGCCCGGGCAGGTGAAAGAAATGCCAGATATATTTTGTTTCACAGAAGACAATGTCCGCTGAAGTAAAGGGCAGCTGAAATTGTCCACCCCATGCGCCAACTGTTGTCAAACATGTAGCGCGAAGACGAGAGTCGATATACGAGGCAGACGGATCCAACAAGCGGCTCCCGGTGAGCACGAAGAAAACCCTGGCGGTAGACTGTCTCTTTCGTTGGAAGTACATACATCGCCCCGTCCCCGTAAGACTCCGCAGATAGCGGACACAGATAGCGGAAAATACGCGCACCCAAGTCCCATGACCTTTCATTGTGCCTTTGTGTTGTGCCTTCCACAAAAGAGCAAAAACAGTTTACAACTGGCTGAAAAAAATAAAAACCACGTGCTGTCGTCAAAAAAGAGAAAAACTGTGATTGTCTACCATGTTTTCATATCTTGTTCTCGAGTTTTCATCAGCTACCTCAATAATAGACCACGCACTGCAACTCACAGTATTTTGAATTCTGTTTTCACCGCTTTTACATCACTGCAGACATCATTGGCAAAAACTTTTGACAACATATTATAACATTTGGTGCTCTACGTGTGGTTTTTATGGCATTAAATTATGACTCGCAAGCTGACACTATCAAACCTCGCTTATTGTGTTTACCACAGCAATATATTGTAAATTGATAAGTGTTTCAAAGCGTCCATCGATATTGTTAAAGTGAAGTGACTACACAGCCTCATAAGATTGAGATAGCAAAATGCATTCATTTTATGGTAATTTCTGATGCCACAGCTCTATTCGGACAATTACTTTATTATACTTCAAAAACAAGCGCTACAACTCAAGCAAGTTGACCGCAGCGGATGTATCTTCCACTTTCACTCATCCTGGTTGTTCTGCACTGCCTCAGGTGAATACACAGCCTTACTTGTGCAGAACTTGATGTCATTTTTCAGAAATAAGCGTTGCTTGCATGCTTACACAATTCACTTGGTCCTCTTGAATGAATATTAGGTTTTAGCTTTAAGAGGGGACTTCTGAGTGAACAAGTTGTCTGTCCAGATTGTGATTTCTTTAAGGTGGTTTTTAAAAGATATAAGGGAGCTCATAAACGGACTACTCTGGTAACACAAGTTCTCATTATCCTGAACATACTCCTTTAGTGCAGTTGTATATGCATGTTCATGGCTTAGCGACCCTTGAATCGCAGCCCTGCACTGCACACAGTTAGTTTTATTCAAAATTACTTTCAGAAGAAATTCACCTATATGATGCAAAATGCTGCACTCTATGGAAGTCAAAGCTTAAATGAAAAGAATTTTTCTATTATCAGAAATTCTAGCTCATTCGCTTCAAAATCCTTGCCAGCATCAAGTGCTTCAGTGTGATTTTAGAGTCTGTAAAAGCACATGGGCATGCGAAAAACATCTTCACATTTTTCGCACTTTCATATACTCTCGCACCTATTGCCCTGTGCCTTTTACGCACTAAGCAGAGTCTCGGTGGATTCTGCTTGACTTTGTTTTCCAGGATGTACCGAGGAAAACGAGCCTATACGGCGGCTTGTAGGCGAATTGGTACGTATTGCCAAGACCGCGATAGGCGGGTTTCTTCCGCGACGTTATGTTTCGAAAAGCCGAGAAAATGCACCATTTGCCACTAAAAAAGGAAAACTTCAATGATTGCTGTGTGGAGTTTAACGTCCCAAAACCACCATAAAAATATGAGAGACACCGTAGAGGAGAGCTGCGGAAACTTCGACCACGGAGGGTTTTTTAACGTGCAACCAAACACAAGCACATGGGCGTACAACATTATCACCTCCAACGAAAAGGCAGCCACCGCAGCCTCGATTCGATTCCGTTACCTTCGGGTCACCAGCTGAGTACCTTAACCACTACACCACCGTGGCGGGTCAAGAAAAGAAAACGAAAAAAAAGCTTACAAACAGCCGAAAAACAATGACAGCTATGTTCATCTAGCGGATAATATACCAAGCAAAAGGCAAATAGTAAATGTTGTGTTGCCACCTACGAAACAATGTCCAAAATAAACATTATCTAGACAGCCGCGAATTCCCCTGTCAAAGCGCGTCTGGCCTCGCCAACCCAGCCGGAAGGTTGCTGCAGGCGAAGCCAATGAAATAATAATAAAAAAAGAACAAGTGTTGGCTTCTTTTCAAAAAACAGGGGCGGTGAGAAAATACTTTTTGACAATGATTTTACGGGATGCGTGAACAAGCGCACAACGTACATATTTGCACAACTGCAACTTCTGTATGACAAGCGATGAAGAACACACTTTTTGAGCTATTCAAAAAGAAAGAGTTTGATACGCATGTACACAGCATGCAAATGAACGTGTATTGCCCCCGGTGCATTGGTGATGGCGATTAAGCCCGATCGGGATCAAATTTTGAAACAGCTAGTGATTGGCGTCCTTCTGCAGCTGGCGTAAGAGAGTCAATCACATAAGACTCGATCGCGATCAAAGCGCCCATGTGACAGCGCTTAAATTATAACTCACGAAACGCTCAAATGACATAACTTATGCTGCACAAACACTAACGAACGGTTCATGGGTAGCCACTTATCGCGCTTGAAGCCATAAAAGTCGCCCTTTTGTATCTTTCGGAAGTCTAAACATCCTATAACCTTTTCGCTAGTGGTTTGTGCACTGTGGCACGGAAATGCCGGTCATTTTGTCCGAGAAAACGCGGCGAACGTGTCTCATTCAACCAGCTGTGACGATACGGGGGGAGCTTAATGGCAGCCGCGGATCGGAAGGTGGCACTCACCCCTTCAAAGAGTGAGTCCACCCTGCAAGGGGCCGCGTGCACCGAGGAACCACACGAGAGACGCGCGCTGCCATGTTCACTCTCCAAAAGATTGCGACTGTACATGGCTCGATAAAGAAATTTGTCGTAATTGCTGGCCTATATCGTGCAGTTTGACAAATAGGCGATTTCATTGCGCCTTTATAGCTTGCCAGTTGCGCTCGCGAGAGAAAAGGATGACCAAGGAAAAAAAAAAAAAACTGAGGAATTGAGGTTGTTTTATTAGTCGAATAATGTACTTGCAATGAACTTTTTTTTTTAAACTTCACAGTTGAAGAAATAGTAATATAGTTCTCCATGAGCCCAATAGCACATTAGTTCAAAAACTTTCTCTGCCCAATCATGAAAAAAGACAGCGTTTTCTTGCTTTGCGTGTCGCATTCACCATTATTAAAGGCGAAGGCGCGCCGGTCGTGTGCTATCAAAGGCAGTCCGAAGTCACAGGACCAGCTATTTACGTATTCTCTGAGCTAGTTCATCCCTGAAATGGCACGCCAGTAAAGAGGACATAAGTAAATAAATGAGCTACGGAGGCACGTACTAAATCACCAAGGAAATTAGACTAATGCCTCGTCGACCCGCCAATGCGCCGAAATAAACTCAAGCCTCGATAGCAGTCTGCCTTCGCGACTGCCCAGTTACGCCCTTCCCCTAACATTTATGGCACTCGACCAAAAAATTGAAGCAGTCGACCATTTAGCCAAGTGTCAGATAAACCGTAAAATTTTAGCTTACGTTGAAATACATAAAACTATCTGTATTCGTAAAAACATTGTGAAGGGTGCCTGTTTTTTTATTTTATTTGTTTCACCTAGAAAATCTTCAGTTGTACCGCGGGCGTTTATTTATAAAAGAATAAGTTCTCGACCCCAATAAATTCTAACTTTCGCGACCGATCTGATTTCACTATTGTGTACTGTCAGACATAGAGAAATTTCAACTACACGCAACATAAGGGATACCTATACGCATGTTCATGGTCGATATAGGTGCACGATGGGCGAGAAAGGGAAAATACGATGTCACGTTGTCAGCATACCTACAGCAGCAGGTGTCGCTGCCTTGAGGTGATAAGGGATCTTTGTGGTAGTATCCGGTCACTCGATACCTGACGATCACCTGACGAGGGCTCATAGAAGCTGTACCAAAGCTAGTTTGCGTATATTTTAGCTGCTGGTCTGTGCTTGAAGACAACGCCATTTAGGAAATGGAAGAAAAGCACATACATCGTTTCTGCCACGAAGAAATTCGGGGCGTAAACTGGAGACCAACCCGGTTGGCTGCGACGGTGCCCAGTTCATGCGTGTGCTCTGTTTGTGGCGTTATACCGATGTGGCGGGTGAGGCTGCCGTGTTCGCACGTCCTCTGTCCTGTTTGCCACGACGCCAGCTCCAGCTGTGGTGCCGGCCAGTGTCCCTTGGATGGGCAGCCATTTAGGAAAAAGGACAGCGTCAACGTTCACTTCCCCGGCAAGGAAGCACGCAATTTTAAGGTCAGTAGAAGTGTCGTGTGTCTTATTTTTTGTGCGTCGCTCTGAACGGTAAAAGTGGTCCATATTCAATTTCATAGGTTGGCGTTGATTTGGCTTATTATATTGAGTGTAGTGTCTCCTTTCTAAACTGTTTGAAGCAGGTAGCGGAGATTGGGGGCAGGAATTGTATTTCAGTGTAACCTATAGCTCGCCTTACAAATCTCTGTGGCGGGCAAAATTTGAGCTATCGGGAGAGCATTGTAAATATCACCACTAAGCCTCTGATGACTGCTTGCGGAGAGCTGGACAGCACGCACTGCGCACTCGCGCAATGTCGACGCGCGCATACACTCAGTTCAGCGACGTCAGGCTTGACTAGGGCGTCCCAGCGGCAGCCGGCGCGTGATGCGACAAGCTGCATTTCGCACCGGTGAGATTACCCAGACTCCATCGCATCAACGTCGACGAAAATTCTGAATTGCGCACGCTTCACGACAATCAATTGTACTGTTAGCCCAACGGTATAAACCTAGGGTCACCTACTTTTCTCGCCACCCACTTTTCTGACTGCCTGCTCGCCCGAATGCTACGTTTTCGGCTATTTTGAGGTACCATTTTTCAAGTAACTGAGGACCATTTAGGTGTTGCATATATAAATTTCTCAGAAATGTCGGAGTGCAAAAGTTACGTCTTTATGGGAGGAACTAATTTATTCTACTTTCGACATGGGAACTGAGCAGGGACGAATTGTTAGCCCTGATTGAACTAACTGTTGCTTGTTCTCGATAGAAGATATCAATTTATAGGTTTATGGCTCTATTGCCGTGAATATTTAGGTATAAATATGTATTTGACAACATATGGGATTAATACACACAAGTAAATGCAGACGTTAAGTACAGAAAATTCGCGCCTAACACACAAGATACCAAACTCGTGACCATTGAATTAGCAATCGCGTACGCAATCCACTACACCGAACCCCAGCATAAATATCAGAGTGAACATAACCGGCATATGTAGGCACTGCCTGGATGCCGCGCGTTCTTGCATGTTGGTCAAAGTAGCAAGATTCTTTAAAATAGACCTACCCTTTAGTGTTTCGCAAGCAACTAATCGGTCGTGACGTTCGTGAAAATGTGAAACGCGTTGAATTATTTTTTTCTGCGTGGTTGTTTCAGGTCCATTTGTGTATATTCAACAACTTTGATGTATACAAAAGACATGAATGGCTTCTCAGCACTCTAGGAGAAACGATGAAAATAATTCAAATAGATGCTGTCCACCAGACTTCAGGCAGTGCACCCGCCACATTGGCAGCTGCTGAGAGCGTGTTTGTATAACTGCAAGATGCTGGCTTTTTTCGAGGGGTACAACGGCTTCAGTCATAAATGTTCTAAAAAAGTTATTGCAGAACCATTGAATATTTCCGAGAGAGCTGTGTGTGCACTTGTAGTTCCGCCGTATCTCGCCTGTTACAAATGCCGCATTAGTAAAAAATTAACAAAAACTTTTTTACTGTACCTGTCATAATGAAATCGAACACCTCATAATGTGTTATTAAGGTAAAAAAGCTCAGTCTCGAGTGTAACGCTTCAACCATTCACATCGATGCGCTTGTGGCCTCACTTATATATAAGTGCAGGTTGTTCTTTTTATTTGAAAGATAGGACACTAACAACCTAGCAACGCGACAAACGGGGCATCGCCGTTGCCTTTGCCAACTACCTGTGTTAGCCAAGCTAAGCCTTCAGCGAGACACGCAGTTTTAAGTCAACGTTCCTAAATAACTTATTTACCCTGCAGTAGGTGATATTGTGTAGAGGTTAAGTGAAATATATTTTTAAAAGCCGTGAAAGTTTCTCAAAATAATGCTAATTCATGGATTACTCGAACTAAACGGTTTTTGAACAGGTGTCTAATGTTGATCCCTCACCGAGGCTACCACGTTTCGATGGCCCAGTCGTGACGCTTGTAATTCTATAGCAGACGGAGTAGCACTCGTAACGCTGTGTAGCGCGAGCTTATCAACCGCGCCGGTTTCGTTCTCAAGGAATGTGAGTGTTAAAGAAGTGTTGACCGTATACATATCGACAAAACACAGGCGAAATCACGCGGAGTGAAGGCAGCCTTGTTTATACTTACCTATGGGGCATTATCCAAGTAGGCGCACAGAATTTCAAAAGCGTAGCACTTCATTCCTGAAATGAATTACGTTTATACAGCGCGAAGATGATTCAGTGCGCCGCAAGAGACAGCAATCACAACCACGTAACACGAACACATCCAGACACACACCTTAACACCATCGAGAATTACTTTGCCGAAAGCACCCCGCCACGCATTGATGCAGCTTGAGCGTTACCGCCATTTTTAAGAGGGGGGGTGGTGGTGGTTACAAATCTCATGCTATATAAACGATACTACTTTGTTCCAGTCGTAGTTGTCATGACCGCTTACACTATAATGAATGGTCAACTTTATTTCTATAGGCGACGCTTTACTTACGTGCATGGTGACCTTTCCTTCGAAGCTGCCATTGCGCCAGAAATTTCCATGCAGTTTTATACAGGTTACCGAAAAAAAAGTAACTACGTTACTTGTGACTCAAACAATAAAAGAACGCATTATGGCCCTACATTATCTTCAAAACAAAACATAACGCGTTACCGTTACCGAAAAACGGTAACGGACGTTGCCTCTGCTATTACTTCGCAATAAATATTTGAAAAAAAGTAAACGAAGCTACTTTGCCTTTACTTCGCAATGGCAAGGTTTAATCGATGTGTTTTTATCGCAGAAACTTTCAATAAGATTTTTTAAAAATCGTAAACCCATGCTTCACATAAAACGTCAAACCCACCCAATGACTATATCAAAAGGTTGAATTCACGAGCAGTATTTACGAAATATTTAATTCACCAGATGTTATCGATCATATAAAAGCATACAGATCCCTGTAGAGTTGCATGGGATAGCTTCTGAATGTGTGGCACTTAAAGGAAATTTTCTCAATGTGACAATGTGATCGGCCTCTGTCGTGTCTGAACACTACCTTTAGTGAAGATCGTCGGAATGAAAACTGGTGGTCATTGGCCTTAACAATTGTCCGGCGCGTTTCATTAGCAATAGACCTTTTTCAAGCAAAATCGCACTGCCCCTTGGGCGAGCGGAAACCTACGGAAAAAGTTAGTACGCCGAGAGAACCGGCTCTTCCTTTACCCGCTGCTCATGTGCGCCGTGTAAGCACAAAAGGAAAAGAACTTGCCGCCACTTGCTGAATAGGGTATGAAAGCACATGCATGTATGAATTGTGAAACGAATAACGCCGTCAGTGTAGGTATCACTCGACGCGTGTACACTGTACGTAGATAAGCGGCATGCTAGTTGTTGCGCGCACCGATATATGTGGTCAAAATATGCTACCGTGGATACGGTGAGCTGGAACACTGAATTTGTAGTTATTCAACGATGAACTGCTCATAAAGTGCTGTGACATTTTTTTTTACCATCACGGTTTGATTAGGCCGTAAACACAAGACCACAGAGAACTGTTACAGCTATAGATTTTTAAAAGTTTTATGTGAAAGTCATGCACTGAAAAATAGAATAGTAAACAGGTTCTAAACTTGTTTAAGCATTAACAGATGGAACTAGAAATAATGTGCGAGATAACGTTTACTGATAATTTGTGGTTTCTTATAAGATGCTTAAGTGTCTCTGCGAAGCAAGGTTGCTGGCAGTATGTTCCGCATTGAGTGAGACCTTTATTGAGTTCTACGTTGGAGCAATTAAATACTGTTGAATGAGGAATAATGACGTCATTGTTATGCTCGGCGAAAAAAAAACAAAAGAAAACTTTAGCACATAAATGAGCAGTAGGTTCCATCTGCAAAAAAGCGGGGTGTTTATGCCTATATCATATACTGAATCGCTGTGTGAACAGCTAATTCACATTGCAAAAATTATTTCTAACAAACTTCGCCCGCGAAGAAACCAGGAATCTTGCAGTTATTTCATGCATACATTCTGCACAGTCTGAAAGGAAGTTGGAATGCGATACGAGGTGAGAATTGTTTTCCTCACCATATGCTTTGTAAAACATTTTTTCGTAGAGCAAAAATGGTTGCAGGGTCTTGAGTGGGCAGAGAAAAGTACTATGACAGACATGCCGATTGTTCTTTCAGTTATTCTACAAGAGATGCTAACCGAACTGGTTGATCTATGAACACGCGCTTCAGAGAGCATCGAAATTGATTGAATGAAGCCATCTCATTGCACCTCGCGTTTTCAGTCGTGCAAATGCAATTTTATCTTTAAAGGCCTGGCAATCTTGCGCAATCAACCTGACCAGACCACACGAGAAATCTCGGAGATATATTATAAAGAACAACACATCTTGTTTAAGTCAATTAACCTTCACTATCGATACAACACAAGAAACTTATCTTTACCAATCAACTGTAAACGTGCGCCTTCGTTGTTCGTCTTTTTTTTTACTTCTTTGTGACAAGTGCGACGCACCCCGATTTTCGTATGTTTATTAGAACTTGCGATAGCCTTTCAGCCGCGAGTGTTTCCGGTGTGCATACTTCTTTACTGGTCCTACTTCTTTCATTTTGCCCTTTAGGCTTTACTTCAGCCTGGAGTTACAGTACAAAAGAAAGTTGTAGACGCGTATGCTGCGAGCGACGCGCATTGGTCTAGTCAATATATAGTATTTTACTGAATTGCGCCTAGTTCTAGGGCACTCTTTATTATACCAGAACTGTACACTGTACTCGTGAACATTGTCAAAGAACAGTGATTCCTAATGTGTCCGCGAATTTATGAACAGTTCTTGAACCTTTTAGGCAACCAAGTTCTACTGGCTTTTATTTATGCTGAAGGTGGAGTGACGCTAAAGGATAGTAATAAACTGACGCCTGTGATCCGGTCACCTGGTTAAACAGGGGGAAAATTGAAAATCGTAGACAGGTCATCGCACCCAAACACTGAAGTTTGTGAGGGAATCGCACAGT